GGAAAATTATCATGTTGTGCAATCAAAACTAAATAAAGAGATTGAAGCAGGTAGAGTTAAGGGTCCTTTTACAAAGCCCCCTTTCCCTCTCTTTGTATGCTCCCCTTTGGGTTTAGTTCCAAAAAAGGAACCCAATTCTTATCGATTAATACATGATTTGTCGTATCCTAAGGGTGACTCTGTAAACTCTGGTATTTCCCCAGAATTTTCGGCTGTACAATACCAAAACATTGAAACAGTTATAGATTTAGTCCAATCTTATGGATCAAATTGTCTAATGTCCAAAACAGATATTGAGCATGCATTTCGCTTAATTCCAATTGCTAAAAAAGATCATCATCTATTGGGTTTTCATTGGGACAAACAATTTTATTATGATGTCTCCCTCCCCATGGGGGCTTCGTCCTCGTGTCAGCTGTTTGAGTCTTTTTCTACAGCCCTCCACTGGATTTTAAATGCTAAATTTCAAATATATGGGGTATCACACCTGTTAGATGATTTTTTCTTTGTCGGAAAAGCTGGCTCAAATGAATGCTATAGTGCATTACAAACTTTTCTTTGTCTTGCCGATAAATTGGGGGTACCCATCAAATCAGACAAAACACAACTCCCTACTACTTGCATTATTATCTACGGTATTGAAATTGATTCTACTCAGATGGTAGCTCGTTTACCTATGGAAAAAATTGAAAAAATTTTGCAATTATTGAGTAAATACAAATGTAAACGCAGTATCTCACTTAGAGAATTGCAATCCTTATTGGGTCTTTTAAATTTTGCATGCGGAGTTATCATACCTGGAAGAGCCTTTTTACGTAGGCTTTTTGACCTGACTATAGGCCATACATCTCCTCATTATAGAATCAATCTTAATTCTGATGCAAGATTAGATCTGAAGTTATGGTACAATTTTATTGAAAATTACAATGGTAAATCTTGTTTTTTATTTAAAGAATGGGTTTCATCAGATTTTTTAAAACTTTTTTCTGATGCTGCAGGTACATATGGTGGTTTTGCTGCAGTTTTTGGCAGCAAATGGTTTTCAGGTGAATGGCCACCGGAGTTAGTCGATTTACACATTACAGTGAAAGAACTTTTCCCGATTGTGTTAGCTATTGATATATGGGGCCCTCTATTGGCAAATCATAAAATACTGTTTTTAACAGATAATTCAGCTGTTGCTGAAATTATAAATAAAATATCATCTCGAGAAAAGAATATTATGAAATTGATTCGAAGATTAGTGCTAGCTGCATTAAAGTACAATATCTATTTTAGAGCCAAACATATTCCTGGAAAAACAAACGTTATTTGTGACTTGTTGTCTCGTTTTTCATTTCAGGAAGCTCATCAGATTGCTCCTTGGTTAAGTCCAACTCCTGTGGCCATTCCACCTCAATTTTTGCATCTATGACTGATAAGCTTGTTAGTGCATCATTATCTGATGCTACTGTGTCATCATATAATAGAATGCTAAGTGTGTATTCAAATTTTTGTCAGAAAATTTTTCCAGGAGTTATTGTACTTCCATCTACTCATGTCATGGTTGCTCATTTTATTTCACATTTGTTTATTCAAAATTATCAACCATCTACAATTGCGTCATACATATCAGCCATCAGTTTTATACATAAAATTAAGTTCTTACAGGATCCAACAGACACATTTTTTATTAAAAAAATGTTAAAAGGTACAAAACAGTTGAGACATTCTGTTGATACACGGTTGCCAATAACCTATGATATTCTTGTAAAATTAGTTAAGGCTTTACCAAAAGTAATAGTTGGCATTTATAATCAAGTTTTGTTAAAGGCTATGATGTCTACTGCTTATTTTTGTTTCTTACGTATTGGAGAAATTGCAGTTAAAACTGAGTCTGAATTCTATAGAGTAATTCAAAGGGAAGATATAAAGTTTGAAAGAGTAAATGGTCATGTGAGCAATATGACAATTACTATGAAGTTCTACAAACATAGTAATCTGCAAAGTAAGACATTATCAATAGCTAGACGTCCTGAAAATTATCTATGTCCTGTTAAAGCTATTGAGGAATATCTAAGGTTACATTATTGTCCACTTGGTCCTTTATTTCGATTTAAATGTGGAAAACCTGTTTCAGGTTTTTATTTCAATTCTTCATTAAAAAGTTTGCTTAATTTCGTAGGTTTAGACACAAATTTTTATAAAGGTCACAGTTTCAGAATTGGAGCTGCGACATCTGCAGCTGCCAGAGGTGTGCCTTTAGCCTTGATCCAAAACATGGGTAGATGGAAGTCAAACGCTTTTCAACATTATATTCGACTTGATAATTTTCACACTTAGATTTAATATAATCACAGTCGCTTACTAAGTGCTTTGGTAGAGGTCAACATGGCTTGCTTTACCTTATTGTGATTCATTTTTTGTAAGGATTAACAAGACTGTTTTATACATGTTAGAATTATTTACTTTTGTAGAGGTCAACATGGTTTGCTCTGCAAATTTAAGTTTTTGCCATCAGTCATTTACTATATATGTAATGGTATTTATTTGGTTGGTAGAGGTCAACATGGCTTGCTTTACCTTTCATTTACAAGTTTCATTATATTAGTATATATTATTTTTTGCTTTGTTTATAATCTGTGTTAATGTTTTTGTAGAGGTCAACATGGTTTGCTCTACACTTTTACTTGAAATGCAAAAGTTAAAAGGTGTATATTTTATTCCATTTTGGGTGTTTTTTGTTGAGGTCAACATGGCTTGCTCAATTTTTCTAGTTCTGGAGTTCCTTAAGTTGAATTCAGAGTCCTCGGATGGGGATCCCTCTTGGGATTTGTGGCACTTTTTCAACCCCACCTTTGCTTATTAAAGTCATTGTCATTTATGCAGTACTATTATAATTGTTAAGATGTAAGTTGCATTTTAAATTAATTTCTGAATAAATGACATTTTACTCAACTTGTGTTTTATTAACAGCAAACATAGCTCAGACTCTTTGATCTAGGTCATTTATACAAGGTTTTCTCGTTGTTATCTGTGTCTAGGAACATTAGCTGACAAAATAACATTTATTGTAAATAAAAGACTTTTTGGCTGGAATTTCCGATAATATTGATTTTATTAATGCCATGTGTGTAAGAAGGCATTTCTTTGTTTAAGTATATCAACATGAGGTCAAGGACTGCATGTTCAATGCATGATCATCTAATTACATTATCTGATTGGTCAGTTCTTGAGATCGGTAATTAATATCAAATTTCTACATGTGCTCGGACATGCGGTCATTCGCCTTTGTTTTGGGAGAGAGAAAAGGTCGTTTTTGAATTTTATCTGAAAACCCTCCCATTTCCCTCCCTTTTAAGCGTTATTATATAGGACATTTATTTTTCTTTAAACATCAATTAAGGACAATATTCATTGTATTGTTTATATACTTTGTATATATATATGTTGGTGAGTTAATTTTTTCAACTCACTTTTATTTTTGTCATTTTTATGATGTTCATTATGTTAGGGTGTGGCACTTTTTCAACCCCACCTTTGCTTATTAAAGTCATTGTCATTTATGCAGTACTATTATAATTGTTAAGATGTAAGTTGCATTTTAAATTAATTTCTGAATAAATGACATTTTACTCAACTTGTGTTTTATTAACAGCAAACATAGCTCAGACTCTTTGATCTAGGTCATTTATACAAGGTTTTCTCGTTGTTATCTGTGTCTAGGAACATTAGCTGACAAAAATATTAGTACAGGTAGCGAAGGTGAGGAAATCGCGCACGAAAGAGACAACGAAAAGGACGACGACAATGAGAATTGCGATACTGACGTTGATTCTGATGCAAACATTGATGACGATGATGAAAACGTTGTTGATGATGATGATGATGATGACGACGATAACGACGATGAGGATGATGTCAAACAGATATAGAATTGAACGAAGTTGCGCAATTTTTTCTGGAGTCGCAACCTGGTCCATCTAGACCAAAAAGAAAAAGAAATGTTAGCAAGAACAGCATGTATGAATATTTCTGAAAATGATTTGACTTGTTTACTAGTGTTGAATCTGATATTAAATATGATATTTCCATTGCATTTATTCAATATCTTTAATACAATGAGTTATTAAAGCAAAGTGGGCACACGTTCACTTTTCAGTAACACATTTTAGTTTTCATTTGATATACATAACTATGAAGTACATATTGTCCAACTAATTGTTTGTTACGGTGGAACTTTCCAACTAGTTGGTTTATACCGAGAGTAGTGAAAAGTTATTATGATATGCTGGAATAAATTGACTAGCTGGTTTGTTCCGGAACGATGTAACTAGTTGTTCTGTTCCGCCAGAACTATTTAACTAGCTACATTGTTCTGGAACTTTTCAACTAGCTACTTTTTTCTGGAACTTTTCAACTGCACTCGGAATACAACAACTAGTTCCATCGGAACGAAATAACTAGTTGAAAAGTTCCGCCGGAACAAAGTAACTGCCGGAACATAGTGGCTGTTACACTTACTCATAATTTTGGCCCTAAAAATACGAAATTTTTCCACTGGGATGATGTGGAGAAAATTTGATAAAAACAGGTTAAATTGTTTCAGTTAAAACAGATTTTCACCAACTGCGTCTTTAGTGACGTACTTGTGACATCATAAATGTAGGTGAAATTCGTAAAAACCTGATTTTTTGCAGAATTCTGCAAAATTTACAGTGACACCACCCTTCGCCTACAAATATTCTTGCTGAAATATTCTTTATATACCATGTTTATATACCATATACCAAAATCTTTTCCTATTTCAGTTGATATATTTATAAATATGAAGCAGACAAACAATTTTTTATACATGTATTAAACTTTCAAATATAATACATTTAGCAATGCATAAACATTAGATTAACTTTAATAATTGAAGTTAAAAAAAGCGCCTTTACAGTGCTGTTTATTGGGGTTCCTGGCTCACCTTTGATTGTGTATCTTTTGTTTCCAAGATATATAATATTCAAACTTACCCTTCTTTCAAAGTGTTGTATGCTTCCTTTACTGATGTTATCAAGTTAAAGAAATTAGTGTACATGTTAAAAAATGGTTCAGCAAATCCAGTAAGTCCTTGTAATGCTGACATCAATTCATCCACTGTTGTTTCTATGTCTTCTACAATGCTCTCTCTAACATCACGCTTAAATTCAGTAAGAATAGATTATTTTTATTTCATGCTAAAAAGATTAAGATTATTGAGTTATAATCAAGGAAAACTTTTAATATTTTGAAACTTAAGCAATCTATGTATTTACTACTGTTATCATAATTACTGTAAACAAACTTAATTTCACAGATACTTTATTTCGCGTTTAGCCCTTCGTAGCTGACATCACGCCCATTTATTTTGGGTGATTTTCTAATTTTCTTGACATATTTACATAAGGGAAGATAAAAAATTTAACAAATTCGCTACTATTTATATTCACGTTATTTTTCAACTCGTGAAAATAAAGTCCTAGCGAAAATGAATTGGTTTGCAGCATCTAGAAACAAATCAGTGCAAATGTATCTGTAATCTAGTGGATATGAAACCAGAAATTATACCACAGATGATTCAAAGCACTCTTTGGCCAAACTATTGGTAGGGATATATTTTTCTTCCCACTATTTTTTTTTGGACAAAATAAAAAAATAAACTGCTTCGCTGAGCACAGCTAGATACGCCCGCAGAGGTCCAACCCTGAACAGTTGGGGCAAAAAGTGACACAATATTCAAGCTTGATTCAGGTCTGAATTTGGATTGTAATTAAATATTTGACATATTATAGGTTTCTGAATAAATGTAGTCATAGAACTTGAAATTGGTTATATGAATTGAATTTATATTCAATTAAAGATTTCTTGCTGTTGTGCAATACTTAGTATATCTGTTGTCAGACTATAAACAAATAAAGTTCAATTAATTCTCAATGTCATATCAGAAATTTATGAAAATAAAAAGGGAGCTTACATCAAAGATATAAACAATTCACCAAAGTTTCATGAGAATTGGTGACAGCATTTTTGAGTTATTGTCTGAAAACTGGAAAATCACCCCTTTTTTTAATGAATAAAACCCCATAACTCAGAAATGTAAAATGTAAAATTTATAAAAATCGAAAGGGAGCTTACATCAATACCTACAAACAATTCATCAAAGTTTCATAAGAATTGCTGAAAGCATTTTTGATTTTTTGTCCCAAAACTGGAAAATCCCCCCTTTTTTTATGAATAAAACCCTGTAACTCGGAAATGTAAAATCTAAAATTTATAAAAATCGAAAGGGAGATCATGTCAATAAATATAAACAATTCACCACAATTTCTTGCAAGTTGGTGAAAGCATTCTTGACTTATTGTCCAAAAACTGGAAAATCCCCCTTTTTTTTAATGAATAAAACCCCATAACTCAGAAACGTAAAATCTAAATTTTATAAAAAACGAAAGGGAGCTCACGTCAATAGATATAAACAATTCACTAAAGTTTTATGCAAATTGGTGAAAGTATTTTTGAGTTAATGTCCGACATGTTGACGATAAACAGACGGACGGAGACAGACGGATGGAGACAGACGGATGGACGGACAGAGGTATACCATAATACGTCCCGTAAAGGGCGTATAAAAAGAGAAAGTTAAGATATGACACTAACTTTTCTGAATAAGATTGGGACAGGTAAAATCAATTAAGGTGTTACTCATAGAACTGAAGCAGGTAAATAGTTTGAAACAATGGAAAGCAAGTGAAAAGTGGGCACCACCAAATGATACTCCTTGAACTGAAATTTTATTAAGAGAAGACATTTGTATTTCAAGAGTTCAAAATACTAGTATGCTTGGAGGGACAAATAAACATGTTATATTATTTGAAATTTTCACATGTACAAATGTGTTACATTTCAAAATAGGGAAACTTGAGTTATCATCAAAAAGTGTTCCACTTATCCTGGCTAACCCACCAGGTCTGGAAGCCTATACCAAGTAAAAAGATTCAAAAAAATTTAGATTTTAATCAACTTACCTAAAACAAATAGGCTTTGATCAACTTAAAAAAAAATCTTTTTTTAGTAACAGTGACCTTACATCTTCGACCTGTTGACCCCCAAATCAGAAGGCTACTGCTCTTTCCCAAAAATCTTCCATCAGTACAAGTTTCATTCCAATCAATCAAAGGAAACTGAAGATACCTTCCAGAAAAACCATTTGTAAATATTTTTTCAGTAACAGTGACCTTTATCTTCAACCCGTTTACCCTAAAATCATAAGGATTCTTCCCCTTTCCTATATCTTACATCAATATAATTTTAATTCCTATCAAGCAAGGGATACCCAAGTTATCTCCTGGGTATCATGTTTTCCCCAACACACAGATGGAGAGACATAAGGACTGACAGGACAGACAGATGGATAAACAGATGGATGGAAGAAAGAATAGAAAAAGGAATGACAATATGCTCATGGAATTTTTGGGGAAACATAAAAAAGAAAGAAGATAAGAAAGTCTAGGGAATTCAACAAAATAAGTACTTTGAATACAAAAAAAATAGGTCTTTATGAGAATTTTCTGACATAATTTTATGATATTGCTTACCAATGATAATTTTCCTTTAGTAAATTGTTTCACAGTATCTTCTGCTTCTCCAATATTTTCTTCCACCCAAGCCTTACTTTTAGCCTTTGCTGTATTCATGACCTTCACTGATAAGTCCACTATTTCAATTATTTCAGTCAGCTCTAACCAGTATGGTTGTGAATCTAAAAATCATACACAATATGAATAGAAAGAGAAGAGGATACTTCATTAGGATGTGAGTACAGCAACCCAACAACACAAACAAATCTGTAAAGACATCTACAGGTCAATATACATGTACAGTCTTCAACAATAGACAAGTGTCTACATTATATGTAAAACTCTAAATTGAGTGAAGAAGTCTGCTTTTGCATGTAATGGAAAACTTGCAACTTTAACTTTATGAAAATAAAACAAATTTTCATTTATTTGCTAGTCTCATGAAATGTGTTTATTTATAAATATAAAGAAGAAAAAGTGATTAATTTCAAGATATAAAATACTGTTTTACATTAAAACAAAACTTTAAAATATTTATAAACAAGAATGTGTCCATAGTACATGGAGGCCCACTCGCAGCGACGAACAACAAACGAACGGACGCACAGACCAGAAAACATAATGCCCCTATTACTATCGTAGGTGGGGCATAAAAAAATACTATTTGACTCCACACATTATATCTCATCTAATACATTTTGTGCAATCTTATTTCCTATTTCAGGACCTACCTACCTTTAAGAAAATCACAAGCTTCCTGTGTTTTGTGTTTTGTCTCTAACAATTTCATAACTGATGCATAAACCCTGACAATAGAAAAAAGATAAATGCTTGAAAATAACAATCCACTTTTAATGTACCCTTAAGCATATGAGTGAAAAATAAAGACAATATTGCATACCTTCACAGTACACATGGAACAAAAGAAAATGTGTAATGTTGACTTAGTCATTTATACTGCTCATGCTAGTTTTATACAAGTCAATCTTCAAAATCTTCATTGAGGTTTTTAAGCAGAAGAGGACCTTCTTCATCTCTTATAGATGTTATAAGGAATTTTCCACTTTCTATTTTAGTAACACCAAGATTTTATTTTACTAGTCTGTTGGGCATATTGCATTAAAAGTTTTGATTGCCCTAGGCATAAAGCTAGTGGATTTTTTAACCCCTAAACATGTGTTTTGTACAGAGGAAGACCTATTAGATAAGTAAAGTACAATATTTTCATCATCAACTCACTGTAATACTCCTTTCCCTATTCTAGATATAGCTGCCAAAGGATCTTTAATAAAAACCTTGAATCCATCTATAATGTCTCCTAAAGACTTGAAAATGATTCTAGCATTCTCTGGTACTGTTATGGTAACCGTTTCGAAGAGTTGCTGCATAATGAAAAGCAAAAAAATATTACATAGAAGATCTTTTGATAATAGATATCATCATCTCCCCTTCTGCTTTTCACCATGAACCATGAAACTTCAAAATGCAAAGTAGTAAGGAAATTGTGCAAGATCTTCCAAGAAGCCCTTAGATATGAGCAACAGCCATATCACAAAGAAGTGTTGCTCACATCATACATTTGAAATTTATTTTATTGTTGTAAGTATTTGTATGTCATCAAGGATGCAGATTCATATTGAGAACTATGAACCTAATGTCAAACTACCTTAAAGTGGAAAGTAAACCCCAAGAGTTACAAAGACCACTTAAGAATGTAGTCATGTCAGGTTTAGGAATTTTTGCCAGATGTTTGGACTCCTTGGGTTTTTTCCCACAATACAGGGTAAATAATTTTGCCCCATTTCATCCACTTTTCTTTTCATAGAAGACTACAATAGTTCAATAAAAGGCCATTACCAAAATTTAAGCAGATTTTTTATTTCTTTTCTTAAAATTTGAGACCCAAATAAAGTCAATGCTAAATATATGGTAAAAGTACGAGTCAGCCTTTTCCCGCCATTTTTTTTAAATCCAATATCTCGAAAAGGAGTTCCATAACCTATCAATATCTTTAATTTATTTTTGTTCCTTAACTTATGCTCTTCTGACTTATGGTATCAATTTTAAATTCTAGATATTTTTAATTTCACCTGACTACATCCTTAAGCATAAAAATAAAATAAACCTTAGTCGACTTCTGAATAACGAATTTTTACAGTGGGAGTGGGAATGGAACTTTACAAAACTTAAGAATGCACATGACCTGGAAAAAATGCTAGCATTGTTAACAAATAGGTAATCACTAGGCTAGCAAAATGTTAAATGATGCCATTTTTTTGCCTTTAATTTTAATATTGTATTATGTAAAATAGGCATTTACTTTTATTATTCTTCCCTTAGTTTATTTATTTTGTATTTACATTGTGTCATAGGTCAAATTTATTTGTTCAGTGTATGTTCAATGGTGTTAATATGTCCTTTGATTGAGTTAAGCTATTTCAGTTGATATTTTATAGTGTGTCTTTCTATGTTGTGATGTTACACTATTGTTTCAGAAAAAGGGTGAAGGTTTGGTACCATTAAAACGTTTAAACCCGCTGCATCTGTTTGCACCTGTCCTAAGTCAGGAATCTGATGTTCAGTAGTTGTCGTTTGTTGATGTGGTTCATAAGTGTTTCTCGTTTCTCGTTTTTTATATAGATTAGACCGTTGGTTTTTCCGTTTGAATGGTTTTACACTAGTAATTTTTTGGGGCCCTTTATAGCTTACTGTTCGGTGTGAGCCAAGGCTCCGTGTTGAAGACCGTACTGTGACCTATAATGGTTTACTTTTATAAATTTTTACTTGGATGGAGAGTTGTCTCATTGGCACTCATACCACATCTTCTTATATCTATTTATCAATCTATTTCAATTTTTGATGTAATCAATCAGTCATGACAGGTAAATTTTGTCATTTGCCCTGAGCACAAAAAGTATTGAATGAGATTAACAAAATCCATAGCCTTAACATAGGAACAAGTTTTTGTTAAAGTATGAAATATTTGTCAATACTGTATAAGCATTAATTTTCGTGGGGTTAAAATTTCGTGGTTTTGTATAGAAAAGTAAGTTCGTGGGGATTAATTTTCGTGGTTTTTAAGTTGAGAAAAAAATATATAAATGTCATTTTATAATTGACAATACTCAATAAAACTAATCTTAACTTTCGCCGTTGGGAAAAACCAATAGTGCATTTAATAGTGACAGTGAGCAGTAATTAAGTTTTGTGAACTTACATTTTATCATTCATTAATTGTAACAAGAAGTGTAAACATGTCTATCTTAAAATGGATTAAAAGTTCTAAAATACGTGAACCATCTTCCCCAGGATTACCTTCACCGAGCCGTGCAACTTCCGAGGATGATGCAATAGCAATCACGGCAGCAAATGAAGCGATCGAAAGTTTAAGTGATTCCCCAAAAGCTTCACCGTCTAGACTGGGTAAAAGGAAACGAGGAGAATATGGTTCATGTACGCCTGAAGAACATGCTAAATTTGCAAAAATCACAAATGATTTTGGTGTGGCAAAAGCGTCGAGAAAAATATCAAGTGATCTCGGAAAACGGGTGTCGGAAACAACAATCAGAAGTATGAGAGACGAATACCGTAAAAAGATTAAGATAAACCTTGAACAGAGAATTGCATCTGAAATTAAGGAATTGCCTACCAAAGTTCGAGGTAGGCCCCTGATGTTGGGATATAAACTTGATGACAGAGTAAAAATGTTTGTGAAAAATTTACGTGCTGCTGGTGGCGTTGTAAATACGACTATAGTTGTTGCTGCCGCCCGTGGCATCGTTAGAGCTGAAAATCGTGCTTTACTTGTTGAAAACAGAGGACATTTAGATGTAAGTCGAGATTATGCAAGATCACTTATGAGGCGAATGAATCTTGTTAAAAGGAAAGGGACAAAAACAGCCAGAAAGTTACCGGAAGATTTTGAAAACTTAAAAGCGGAATATCTGAAAAAAATTACAAAATGTGTTTACGAGTATGATATTCCACATGAACTGATTATAAACTTTGACCAGACAGGTCTTAAAATGGTTCCTACAAGTGAATGGACTTTAGAAGAAAAGGGATCAAAAGATTGTAGTATCGTTGCGTTAGATGATAAAAGAGAAATAACGGGTGTGGTTGGAATTTCCCTGACAGGTTCATTACTTCCGTTTCAATTAATTTACAAAGGTACAACTGAGAGATGTCATCCCACATACACATTTCCAAAAGACTGGAATGTAACGCATTCTGAGAATCACTGGTCAACAAGTGTTACAATGATAGAATACGCAAAATCCGTATTGATACCATACTTTGACAAAGTTCGTAAAGAAATTGGACGTTCCGGGAGGAGCAAGGCACATGCACTAGCCATATTCGATGTCTTTAAGGCACATCAAGACAAGAACTTTCTTGCACTGCTTCATAAAAATCGTATTCGTACAGTTTTTGTTCCCCCTAGTACAACAGAAGAACTTCAACCGTGTGACCGTACCGTAAATGGGAAGTTAAAGTACATTATCAAGCAGAAATTTATCAATTGGTATTCAGATCAAGTGTCTACTCAGCTGGAAAAAGGTGTACCTGTTGAAAAAGTAACTGTCGATCTCCGGATTAGTGCAATTAAACCGGCACACGCTAACTGGCTTTTACATGCCTTTGATGTTTTATCCAAGGACAATGATTGTGTAATTAATGGATTTCGGCTTGCGGGCATTACAGACGCATTAGACTGTGACATTGATTGACAATTCTTGATCGTGATTTATTACTGTACAAACAAAAGATTAGGATTATCATCTGACTGAAAGAAAACGTTTTAATACTTTTGTATAATCAATTAACCTATCATTTCTTTGTATGCATTTATGTTCACCATTTATATAATGTCAATATGATTTTGTCTGATTAAATAATGTAGATATTTACGTATTTTGGATTTAGACTTGGTAAATTTACAGTTAAATTTTCGTTGGGGTTTTAATTTCGTGGATAACTCTTATCCACGAAATAAACGAAATTAAATCCCCAACGAAAATTTCTGCTTTTACAGTAGTTAGGAGCATTCAAAACAACTGAAAATTTATTATCTATCTTCGACTTGCTATAGGTGTAATACCACCATTGTTTTTCCCCAATTAGTCTTTGTTAAATTTGCACTTTTCAAAAAATTGACCTAATGAACAATTTTATTCTGTCAGATTTGCTCTAAATGCTTTGGCTTCAGAGATATAAACCAAAATCTACATTTTACCCTATGTACTATTTTTTAGCCATGTCGGCCATCTTGGTTCGCAGGCAGGGTCATCGGACACATTTTTTAAACAAGATACCCCAATGATGGTTGTGGCCAAGTTTGGTTAAATTTGGCAAAGTAGTTTCAGAGGAGAAGATTTTTGTAAAAGTTAACGGACGACAGACGACAGACGACGGACGACGGACGAAGGACTCCAAGTGATGAGAAAAGCTCACTTGGCCCTTTGGGCCAGGTGAGCTAAAAAAGAATGGTGCTATGAAACAACCAAGATATATGTTTATGACTCAGAAATTTGTTACTGCAATGAAATGTAGGATTAATTTCCTACAACTGTCAAATTCAAGGGAATATTTTTTTCGACCCTTTTTCGTATGCAACCGGATGTGAAGTACTATGATTTGGTGGTATTACACCTAAACAGAAATGATCCATTTAAATTTGGCCAAGTAGTTTCACATAACATTTCATTGCATATAAGATAGTAACCATCACTGGAAGGTAACCAATCAAATTTTCACCCCTTTTTTTCCTGTGTACAAGCTTTAGTAACCATGTAACCTCAAGTTTCCAAAATATTCTATAGAGACACCAAATAAAAAAAGAATGGTGCTTTGAAACACCCAAAATTTATGTTTATGACTCAGAAATTTGTTACTGCAATGAAATATAGGATTAATTTCCTACAACTGTCAAATTCAAGGGAATATTTTTTCGACCCTTTTTCATATGCAACCGGATGTGAAGTACTATGATTTGGTGGTATTACACCTAAACAATAATGATCCATTTTGAAATTAAGAATTATTTTTTTTTTAAATTACTTACATTGAAAAACACACTAACATCCGATTTCAAACGATTAAGAAAAATCTGCACTCTGGATACTAGATTAACTACAGGTTTCATAAAAGGTGGCATATCTTTTGGATCATATTCACCAAACTTTTTCATTGCATTGATTGTAATACTTCTTAAATTAGCAACCTACAAAACATAGTTAAACTTTTAATGCAGATATATGCTAATTCACTTTTGCAGCAAATTGGGACTGTACTTATTGTTAGTAAGTAAATGATAGTGAATAACACTAACTATATATTTCTTTATGTGAAAATACAAGAAAACATTGAAATATGT